ATGAATTGTTGTTTTTCCTGTTATCCGCAAGTTTAGATTTGGGGTGTTACATAAAATATATGTCGGAGCCTCTGATACTCGTTGTTTGAACTCTTGCAACAAAAGGGAACCCTGAGCCACATAAACGCATTGATCCCATGTCTCGAGAACCAATGCTATGATATACGAAAATGCAAAGAAACATGAGCCAGCAAACCAAGAAACGATGAGGAAAATTTTAGGGTGCTACACACTTCATCAGGCAACTACCCACTTCCAAAAGACTTGGTAAGCCCACCTTCCGAAGATCACGGGGCAGTTGATCCAGGGCATATACCACATGCTAGTCTTCCCTATGCCACGTAAGCCCTGACAGTTACTTGTGTTGGGCTTGGCAATCCGGCGTAATGCAATGTAACCATTGACCCTACGCTGAGGGCACATTATAAATATCCTCTTTCACTAGAGGGTCAAATATTCTATTCTCTACACCTATTCTCTCTATACCCAGTGGCGTCGTATGTGGGAATTTTTGCTTCCCCGTTCTTTCTCCTGTCCAAGCATAGAAGCTCAAGAGGCAAAGCAACCTTCAACTTCCATTCTAATAATGGCCAGCCCACGCGATGACAATGCTCCTGAAAGCGCCTTCATCCCCTTCACCAACGGAGAAGGCCACGACCCCAACGCGGCCACTTACAATGAAGAAGGCGACTACAGGGACGGGCGCACTGCCTTTCCCTCCTCTAAAGATGCGGCCTTCAACGCTATTCAGCACTTCGACATCCCCGCTGTCTACCAGTCCATCCCGGTGCCAGCAGGCGTCGACCCTAATGATCTTTGGGCAGAACGAGCGAATAAGGATGCTTAAGAGGGAACGACCATCATGCTCTCCCCCATGGAGACATCGTCGCCCAGTTTCCAATAACCCCTCTCCTCCCCCACGGGGGACACAACCAGTTGACGACTCTCAGAGCTCCTCTCCTCAACCGACTAGACGCCACCCTCGTTTAGAGCGACCATAACCATTGGCTTCCCAGAAGAGGGGCATGTCGCCTCCCCGAAAGGAACTTCGCTCCCCAGTTCTGAAGAAGAACAAAGCCTAAGTGGGTGCCTTCAAACCAAGAGCCCGACCGAAGAGTCCTCCCTGACGGAACAGAAACAACCAGGGATTAGTCTCCCCCTCATTGTCGCCCGTCAAGAGGGACGAAGACGTCCAATGCTTGCCACTATTTAGGGCCATCAGGGAGGCCCCACTACCCGTCAGGAAGGAGAAAACCCCGTCCTTGGCAACATACGATGGCACGACCGAACCGAACGACCACATCGAAAGCATCGACGTGATGCTCGATTATCAAAATATTTGAAGAGCCATCAAGTGCAGGATGTTCCCCACTACTCCGAGGAAAGGCACCATGGCATGGTACAAACTCCTTGCGTCCGAATCCATCACCTCCTGGGGCGAACTGAATAGGCAGTTCTCCAGGCACTTCACGACTTCCCAGTGCCATCCGAAGACAGAGACATCCCCAGAAGCCATTATCCAGGGGAAGAACAAACCTCTCCGAGACTACATAGAAAGGTTCAACCGAGAGGCCGTCCAGGTGTCCACCATAGACGACATGAAGAAATTCCTGATCTAGAGAGGCATAAGACCTCACGCCGACTTTGCCAAGGCCGTTGGGGTTGAACGTCCATGCACCTTGCATGCCCTTCTCCATAGAGCCTAATCATACATCAAATATGAGGAGATAAAAGCCGCGAACACCGCTAGGGACACACGAAACTAGGAGGGCTTTAGGGGCGCCAGGCATGAGGAGGCCACTCCTCCGTGACGAAGCGGGGAAATAAGATGCGAAGACCGACCCCACGAGTAGAGGGGACCCGTGGGCCGGTTCACTGAGTACACACTGCTGACAGCTCCTCGCAAGCTCATCCTTTCTGAATGCATCAATTTGAAATTTTAGAGGGGCGGTGTCCGTTTCCCGAAACCGACGGCCCTGAAGTCCAACATGGACAAATCCAAATATTGTCGGTTCCACCGATGTAATAGACACGTCACGGAGGACTGTATCCACCTCAAGGATGCAATCAAGATCTTAATCAAGAAAGGGCACCTGAAATAGTAAATCCGGAGAGGTGAAGCTCCTTGACCTGAGGCCTACGAAGCCAAGAGGGTCAAGGAAGTGTCTCTTCCCTTTGATGAAGCGGGACTACAAGCCGCCCTCTGTATCTTCTGAACATCGGATTTCCTCCTTTTTAGCGAGCCCTCCAGACCCTTGTCCGCCCACAGTTCGTGGGAGGATTTCCCAGCCACCCAGGTCATATTCGACGGAGGGCCCAACAAGCTATCGGTAGGGTCGGTCAAGAGGAAATTCGAGGAACTCATCGATAAGATCTTGAAGACGAAGGCTACCCTCGACAAGTTCAAAGGTCAATCGAACCCGATCACCTTTTACCTCGAGGAACATCTTAGGGGTGCACCTAATTCCAACATTCCCCTCCTGATCAGGGCTCAGAAGGAGAACTTCGACGTGGGCTGAATCCTAGTCGACCAAGGGAGTTTGGTGGACATAATGTAGACCCACCTGTTCACGACCCTCCAGCTCGACGTAAGCCACCTGACCCCGTATGTCGGCTCTGATCTCCAGAACTTCAACGGTACCACCACCAAGCCTTGGGGATACGTGGAACTACTCATCACATTCAGAGCTGAGGAGACGTCCAAACAGGTAAAGGTCCACTTCCTGGTAATTGAATGCCCATCCTTGTACCAGTGCATCCTGGGAAGGCCGACCTTAGCTGAGCTGATCGCAGTACTGTCTACAGTCCACCTGAAGATGAAGTACTACACGACCAGAGCTCGGGTGGTCACCCTCCACGGGGACATTAAGGTGGCCAGAAGATGCTTCGAGGCGGCGCTCAAAGGGCTCAACTCGATCAACAGTCCCACCAAGTCGAGCGACAGGCCAACCCGGACTGAGGAGCAGAAGCCACTCCCTCACGTCAACACCGTCGAGCTCGACAGCCGTTTCCCCAACAAGCAGGAACAGAACACGGGATCTGAAGACGGGCCCCCAACGGACAACGAGCAGTTGTCCCACCCAACTCGCCCCATTCCAGACGGAGACTTCGAGCTCATCACTCTCGGAGACGACCCAGGAAGAAGCATGAAGATTGGCACGAGACTCCCCAACTTAGCGAGGAAGCAGCTTAAAGTCTGCTTCTAGAAGAACGCTAACCTGTTTGCTTGGAGCACTACGGAGATGCTCGGCCTTGACCCCCTGTCCACCTTATAACCTTCTGATTAGACTTTGTAAAAGCCTTCCTTAAATTGACTTGCCTTAACGTGCAAATTCTAAAATTTGAAAATTCATTTGCGAGGTGAATAACACCTCACAAACATTATTTAAAAAAATTTCATTTACCTCTAGATGACTTGCAAGGTGATATATTTAAAAAATTATTTTTTACTTTTTTTTTGTTTGGATAAATGAATTGCAAGGTGATTATCATGCAACAACCATCATTTTTTTGGTTAGTCAAATTCACCCTGCAAAATTATGAAGCTAATATTAGTATTTCTTGTAGTGTAAGCTGGATCGATTGAAAATATACATGATTCATATATCATATTATATGAAATTTTTATGACACTTATTCATATTGATCTATGTCATCAAGTACATTGATGTGGTGGTGGTCGTAGTTCCGTCGTGTTATATATCAATGAGGATATTCACAGTGATTCCATTATTGATGTATGAGTCAGAATAAATTATAAAGTTGAAATTTAAATATAAATATCATTTGGATGCACACCTAAAGAAATGTGATATAATTGTTAAGATATTTTGTCAAAGTAAAAGATTCTTGGAACATTTTATATTTAATTATTACACTTCAATAATTATTATGTGAACATATATATATATATATATATATATATATATATATATATATATATATATATATATATATATATATATATATATATATATATATATATATATATATATATATATATATATATATATATATATATATATATATATATATATATATATATATATATATATATATATATATATATATATATATATATATATATATATATATATATATATATATATATATATATATATCAATATTAACTATATTAGTTATTTATAAAATTAAGAGCATTAATCAATTAAATGTTTAAATAAAATCAAAATTTTATTAGATTTTTATTTATTAATTAATCAATTAATTAATTAATTAATTAATTGAATATATCCTTAAATATGAGTGGATGTTTGGATGATCTATTTTAAAATAATGAGAATTATAATTGGTCATCACCTTATATATAAACTATTATACCGTACTAAAAAATTGATTATTGATTCTCTCTATCTCTTAAAAGTATTTAAGACATTAAAAATACTACTGAAGGAAGATCCATAAGTCAAAAAGTGTCCATCACTTATCTCTATACTTTTGTGATTTAAGATGTTTGTTGTCATTGCCTAAAGATTGTTTTGTTTCGGCTTAAGTAATAATTCTAGTTTTAATCTTCCTATTTGAGTATGATTTATATAAATTATTTCCAACATAAAACTTAAATATAATTTTAAATTAAAACTTAAAAGTTAGTATATTTAAAAAAATCTAAAAATACTAATTATATAACTATTTTTCATCTCTTGAATCATATTTCTAGATCCAACACCACAACTCCTCGGCCACAAATGTGAAAATGAAAACTTATATCAAACAAAAAAATATGTTAACAGTGCAAATCCAACAAGTATTTTCCACATGATCTTCAATATTTTGCTATAGCATTATATTAACATCAAATCAAAGCCATATTACAGTGCATTATTATGATGTTCAATTAGTAATAGGTGTGGTGATATTATTATGATGTTCAAGTATTGTAATAATAAATTTCATATGACTAATATGAATTATTTGTCATGAGTTATAACAATGTATTTAAGAATGTTATGCAAATAAAAGCAAAAGGAATGTGAAGTTTATGAATGGTTGTTGTTGTTGGTTATGTATTTGTGCCCAACGCCACCAGAACCTGGACCTGAATCCTTCATCCCTCCAATAATCCTGTGGCCAACACCGCCGGAACTTGGACCAGAATCCTTCATCCCTCCGATAAGCCTGTGTCCAACTCCAGGCGATGGACCATCTCCCTTCAATGTCCTAAAGACTCCAATTAGACCTTCCTGGCCTTGTAATGGACTTAGCAATGGCCTAGCTTCGGACACTTTAGGAAGCAAAGAGATAAAGAAGGAAACAAGAAGAAAAACAGTGAAGAATGTGACAGAGGATTTGAGTGTTGTATCCATTTGTTGAATAAAGAGCAAGGCTTATTTAGTTATCACTTATCACAGTCAAAGGGAAATATCTTAGTTTTGAATTATATTTGTATTGATGAAGTGGCATCCTAGATGTCCTATTTATAGGTAAACTATAAGAGCATGTGACACTAAAAAGAACACTAAGTGGCATTATAGATGTTACTTTGCTAAGGAAACACAAAAGGTAGGTTCTTTTGATTTGAAAAATGATATTCCTTTTGAAAGTGATGTTACTAAAAAGTATGACTTAAAATGACATATTTGAGCAGAATTCAGATTAACTTGTAACATCTCACGCAGCCTGAAGTTGAAATTGAAAACAAGAAAATTCTAGTATAAATAACTCAATTACTTTTTTAATGATATACTAATTTATGAACTCTATGAACCCTCAATGTAATTAAATATATAAATATAATTTAATTTACCTTTTCTCTACTTTTTTTTATTAATCAATGGTTTCTATTAAGAGCATAGCAATACTATTTACATGCATCATATACGTTGGTAGGAAAGATTTTTCAAAATGAGTAATAGTTGTGAGATGGCTTTGAACCTAACAATTCAAATGATGTCAAGTTCATTCACTGAATTGTTTTGATGTGCGGTTCGTGGACTCCTTAAAGAAGTTAAATTCTTCAACAATATACACACACACACACGTGTGGGTATATATATATATATATATATATATATATATATATATATATATATATATATATATATATATATATATATATATATATATATATATATATATATATATATATATATATATATATATATATATATATATATATATATATATATATATATATATATATATATGACCCACTAAAACTAAGCTCAATTATAAGGACCCAACCCAAAATATCAACATAGAAAGAATGATCTAAACTACAAATTCACTTTCTACCATCAAATTTAATCAAACACCTTTCCACGATGCACGCCAAATCAAGCGCAAATGGTTTTAACCGTCAACCATATATGAGCCCTGCCATGTAGCATAACACATAAGTCACTCTTGCAAGTTACAACTCTCCGACCTCACTAAATTATGTGTTGGAAAGCTAACCTCAATTCCACTCCACTTCATTGCACCATTAATTTATACTGTTATATTGGCAGGACTCACTCCCTCCACATCAACCGACCTCTCGCTCCATGATATGAACACTGACACCATATGTGGGAATAAATTTATGATTCTCATGAAATTCTTAACTGAATTCATCAAAATCTAAAGTTATGTCTCTCTAGAGACAAACTTGCTCGTTAGCAATGGCAACCCCTGATTCTACCACTAGATTCACCCCAACCTTGAACTTAAAACCATTGACAAACATTATTGTTTATTTAATCATTAGAGGATTATCTTCCTCAAAAGATCCAGGCAAGGAATCTACAAGAAGGAAATCCTTAGGATATATGATGATGAAGGGTGAAACGAATAGCAAAACTTCGATCCTAAGTTTCTAAGAGAATGAAAAACTGAACAAAATCCTTAACGAAATACTTTTGTTGGTGGTGACTCCCACTGTGGTAAATCACATAGTGCCGATGATCCTTATTGAAATCGGGAGTTTGTGCAATGTTATATATGCCAATCTTTTCTTGGAGCTTGTATTGTTCAAAGATAACTTGTAAACAGTAAAAGACATGGACTTCCAAGATTTCAACGAGTCCATGAATCACTCAAGAGGCACTATAGAACTACTAGTTTCCTTAGAAGAAGTAAGAGACACAAATACATTAAACATGTGCTTGCTAGTGATCCCTTGTGAAAGAAGTTACAGTTGCATCCTAGGGAGACTTTTCTTTGCGGTGTTGGACATAATAACTATCTTCACGATTCAATCATCATTTCGAGCGATCTACTTGGAGCCTACTTAATACATGAGATGATGCTAAAAGACCCTATGATGACCACTTCCATCCTAGAGAGGAAAAGGAATTGGCCTCCACATCCAGTGTTAACACACCCAATCTTGATGCATATATGAATAAAGCCACATCAAACGATAAACTCGATTTCCTAGTTTGAACCAAAATGAAGACCTTGAGACCATTTCTATATGAAGAATTTAAAACACTGAAACTTGACAAAAACTCAACTAAATCGTTCCATACAAGATTCGGCCTACTGGATCCAATAAAGAGAAATCTCATTAGATGTATCTTATGGTGGAGCATTTTTTATCTAAATCCTATGAAGGTTACAAATAGATTAAGAGCATTACTGCCAACACTTATCAATGGCTAGTTACAAGAGCAACCGCTACAGATATTCCAAAGAAGCCAACTAGAGTTCATAAAGTTACTAAAACCACAACTTAGCTAGCTTCTTTGGAACAAATATAGTGACTCAAATGCACCAAATGATGACGAACATGATGATGACTTATGACACGCCAGTTGCTGAGCCAATTAAAGTTGTAATTGACGCCAAATTTTTTGCATGTGTCTATTGTGGGGAAGCTCACCTGTTTTAAGAATGCTCAACTAATCCTTTTTCTATGGATTATGTGAGTAACAAAAAATACAGCAACTCGTACAACAACATATACAACCTAAGATGGCGTAATCATCCCAAATTTTAATGGAGTAACACTCAAAATGAACTAAAGCCTAAAGCACCATATATTCCCCTTGATTTTTCTACAACAAATCATGTTGGGCTACACGAGGAAACAACTAGTTGTAGAATAGTCTAAAGTCCTTTATGCAAGAAACAAAGAATCAATTTCAAGATCAAGGGGTAAGCATTAAAAACTTGGAAACAAAAACATCTACCTCTAGTACCAAGGGCACTCTCTAGTTCTACTGAAACAAAAACATCTACCTCTGGTAACAAGAGCATTGAGACATGCAAAGTCATATCATTGATAAGTGGCAAGGAGTGTGAAGGACCAAGCCAACAAAACAATGACTAACCAAGGAAGAATATGAAGTCTTCTCATACATCAGGAGAAAAATAACCTACATCTATAAGCTGAATAACCTAATATGTTGACTTATGGCACAACAACTGCAATATAAGAACTCGTAATTGATATGCCAAAAGTCAACATAACACCCCGATTTGTGAAAGAGAGAAAACCACTATCTTTTACCCAAATGATTAGGAAGGCTAAAGAATAGTGACAATTTGGAAAATTCATGGAGATCCTAAAGCAACTTCACATCAACATACCCTTGATTAAAGATATTCACCAAATGCTAAATCATTCTAAGTTTATGAAGGATGTGTTATCAAAGAGGAAGAGAGTGGGAGAGTTTGACACTCTAGCACTAACTCAAAAATGTAGTCAATTTGTTCAAGAAAAGTTACCACCCAAGTTTAAAGATCCTAAAAGTTTCACCATACCATGCACCGTAGGATATTCTTTCTGTTGAAGAGCATTGTGTGATATTGGAGAAAGTATCAACCTCATGCCCTTATCTATCTTCAAGAAGCTAGGAATTGGATTTGCAAGGCCAACAACCATCACACATCAATTGGTTGATATAAGCCTTTTCTACCCTAAAGTAAAGATTGAATATGTGCTAGTAAGGGCTAACAAGACTGTATTTCCAATTGACTTTACAATCGTGGATTTTATTGCTGATGAAGACACACATACTCTTTTGGAAGACAATGTCTTGTAATAGGATGAACTCTAATATATGCTGAGAAGGTAGAAATCACTATGAGGGTGAATGGGAAGAAAATGGTACTTAATGTCCTTAATGCTTTGAATTACCATGAGGAAGATGTAACAGATTGCTCATTAATATCTAGCTGGGATTCCCTAAATCACAAGAAGATCATAAAAAATAAGGATGAGTTGGAACGAAAGTTGGGTGAATAAGAAAAGAATGCATTGGTAAGAGAAGGTATCATAAGTGGACAATTTCTCCCAAATAAGGGCAGGATGGAACACTTTGAAATCTTGGAAATTTCAACTGAGTTGGTGGAACACAATGTCTATGCATAGAAAAACCCCTTGAACTAGAATTGAAGAAACTCCCTTCCCACTTGCAATTTTCCTACCTAGAGACAGGACAAAAGTTTCTAGTGATCATTGTTACTGATCTGTCTGACGAGCAAAAATGCCAACTTCAAGGACTTTTAAAACATAACAAAAAAGATATTGCTTGGAAAATACATATGTAGCGGAAAAATTTGAGATTAAGCTATTGATTAACTTAACTCACAAAACAAGATTCGTCACCACACTTTTATTTTTTCAAAAGAAAGGGAAAAGAGCGAACAAAACCTAAAGAAGTTTTAAAAACAAACTAATAAAAATAGAGATAGTGTAAAGGGATTTGTTACATAAAGGTAATGTGTTAGCATCCAAAATGTCTATAGTACTCTATAGGAACCTCTTTGAAAATCTAGCGTTTGACTTAAAAGTTGTTGTTTGCAAAAGATTGGTGAGGTGAAAAGAGAAGTGTTTTTTATAATTTTGTGTTTGGCAAGACTTCTTGAGCAATATAGGATCAAAACCTCGTAGCTTGTGGTAAAAATAACAAAATTGAGTGTTATGATTCATTTTAAATTAAAAGACAACTTGTCATTTTAAGGAGAAAACTTCAACTAATCACCCAAAAGTATGTGAAAATGGACCTTTGCATCACCTTTAGAAGGGTTCCAGCTTGGATAAAATCAACAAGTATGACACTAACTCTCTAAGGTGGAAAAGAATCAACTCATTTCAAACAATACTATGGGGATATGAGGATCACATCTCAACTATAAATGACTCATGTCTAATATTTATGAAAAGTTTTAAAGCAAAAAGTGCACAAAAGGCAAATAATAATTTGAATGAGTTAAGTATTTTTTAAGTCTTATGAAAATGGTCTAAGTATGCTTAAGATTGATTAGCATTTATTAAGTAAATGGAGTTTTAAAATGAACTTGACAAAATCAAGGTTTATTATGAAAGAGGTTCTAGTTTGAAATAAGAAAGTTTTGAAAAAAGGAGAAGATTTTGAAA